GAGAGAGAGAGAGAGAGAGAGAGAGAGAGAGAGAGAGAGAGAGAGAGAGAGAGAGAGAGAGATGGTGTCCAGAATGAGGAGGGTGCACACAGTCAGGCAAGGAAGTGTAGCCCTCTGCACACACATGGATACAGAAACCCTGGCATTGTAGTGATTGTGGCAGAGACATTGACGTCTGCTGCCGCGTGTAACCGTGTCTGTGACTCTACAACACAGAGCATTGACGCAGTTCCTGCTGCGACACAGGGGCGAAAAAAGCTGCGGCCATTTCGCTAAGCAGCACACAACTGCATCAGGTAACAAAGGTAAGGTGTTGACATCAACCAGTAATAGAAATGGACGGGAAAGGGAAAGGGAAATCCAAGGAAAAACGAGGACACACGACAGATGGAGGGACAGGGAGTTGGAAGAAGAAGGGGCACAGGCAACATACCTTTTTCTCAGGCGTGCAGTTGGCGAGCACGTAAGCAAAGAGCTTCTGGTACCATGAAGGTTGACTCAGAAGTGCCCCAGATTCGGCCTGTTGAAGTCCACCAAAGAAAAAAACAAAACAAAAAGAAGATCATAAGAAAATCAGGAGTTGTTCAAAGCCCGAAGGTGCGAATTTCTACTATGGCCTTGCGGCTGTTGACTTTTGTTTGTTATACCGCCAATGACACAGATCTGGATGATAAGTGTAATGTTGGGATTGTGGGATTTGATCCCCCCAACCTACCATACAATTTGCTGCTTTTTTTTTGTTTTGTTTTGCTGTATTTCAAGTGTCTGCTGTTTGTTCTTGCCATGAGCCTGGCCCCAAACAAAGTAAGTATACTAGTATAGTGGTTTTGCTTTTCTTTACTGTTCCGCATCTGGTGAGTTTTGAACCTGGGACCTGCCTGTACAGTCTGTTTGCATAGCATAGTGGTAGGACCTTTTTGGCTGATAGTTTTAGGCTTTCATTTTGATAGGCAGACGCCTTAGGCCCAGGTGAGTAGGGGCTCCTCAAAAGTGATGAGTCGGGGCAAAAACCACGAGAGAGAGAGAGAGAGAGAGAGAGAGAGAGAGAGAGAGAGAGAGAGAGAGAGAGAGAGAGAGAGAGAGTTTTGGGCCCGTTAGTCAGGGGCTGAAAATGGGGGGTCCCCGTTAACCACTTATGAGCCAGTGAGGACTTGCTATTCACTGGATGGTTGTTGCATGTCGGTGAGAGAGGTAGGGCCCTCAATTCTTCATCACTTTTTTTTTCTGGTTTCATCCCCTGTTTTGGATGTGAGTGTTCGACTCTGATCTTTTCTGTGGAGTTGCAGCCAAGTGTGATCTTATTATCTCAATTGATTTATTTATTTTTTGTGGAGTTGCAGTCAAGTGTGATCTTATCTCAATCAAGTGTACTTGAGATTTTGGAAATTCGTAACACTGCAGTGCTATCAGAGTTGGTAATGATCTTGACTTCAGAGTCTTTCAGACACAGGTTCGAGTCGGATGGCCACCATCATGATGGCAGCAAGATTGCAACATCATTAAGTGGCATGTCTGACTCAGCGGCAATATCTCACCCACCTGTTAACTAGCTGCTACCTGATGTTACACTTCATTTTCTCCTACTCAAAAGCAGTGATCCCGTGCGCGGGAAAAAAAAAAAAAAAAAAAAAAAAAAAAGAGGAGGTGGGAGCAACGTTGACATTGGGGTAAAAGAAAAAAAGGGTGGCAAGAAGCTCCTTACGTTATGAGCGATCGGGTGACATGGCCACAAGCTAGGGGGACAGACTGTACACATAGTACCAGGAGCTTTCACCGCCTTCAAGGAAAGGGAAGTCTGTGCAGTCAGGTACTATAATGATGGTTAGAGTCGCTGAGCTACAGAAGCAGAAGGATGACATAGTGGCAATGCAAGCGGATCTGGATGCTTGGACGACTAAGGCAGCTCAAGACGAGGAGTTGCGAGAGAGAAAAAAACACCACTGAGTCTAAAGAGGTTGCTGAAGGACAAGAACAGAAACATTGGGGAGACTCTGTCCACGTTAATTATGATCCTCCATGTTGCGGACATGGACGGACGGGATGGCCAGGTTAGCTCACTCCATGTCCATGCATCTGACACAACAGCTTGCTGTGCGAGCAGATTGAGTGAACTTCAAGGTCATACGAGACTCAGTGTAAGGCGCTGCAAACTTCTCCCTCTCGTCAACGAACTTCGGTGAGCCCTTCCTCCTCACGTGGAGGAGGAAATCAACAAGCACATCAACGGAGGCCGGAGATTGGACCCCTGGAAGCTTTTAGGGGACCTCCGGAGGATGATGTTGAAGTCTCGCTACAAGAGGTGAAACGCCAGATTCCGTATTGTTGTATGATGATGGACAGCATCACGAAGTTCCAATTGGCCATCAGCAATATGGAGGACTTGAGTTAACTTAGAGACTTCATAAGTTTTTAGCGGATTGGAAGACAGTGCCTAGAAAATCTCCTGATATTACTTTTGAAATAGGCTTCTGGAGCGGTATTTGTCAGTCTCGGGGGAGGATAAATTATATGACCGACTCCCTGAACTTTTGCAGCAGTCATTTAGGGGATCAGTGAGTAATCTTGTGCGGGAATTTGATCCCTTGCTGCAAAACCCAGATTTGGAGTTGGGGCAAAAAAAAAAAGATCATCATGCATTACTTCATAAGGGCGCTTCAACAGAGATTAGCAACCCTCTTAGGCCCCAAGCGGGCGTAGTTGCAAAGCTTGCAAACCTTCAGGGCTATGGCAGATAGGGCCTTGGCCTTGGCACAAGCCTTGAAAACCATTGGTGCATCGACAACAGAGCGAGGTAGAATTGAAACAACCAGATCTTCCCCATTGACATAGTAAAGGAGAAGAGGGAAGCTGTGTGTTACAATTGTCGGCCCGGCGGAAGATTGTTCATCCGATGATTGCAACAACGATGAACAAACGGGTGACAGACCCTTCAAGAGAGAATGGGGAGCCTATCTAAGCGTTTGGGAGAACATGTGTAGACTGTTCTGTTGATCCAATGTTGGGAAGAACAAGTTTAGACTGTTCTGTTGATCCAATATTTTGATAGAAAGGGAAGTAACAGCAGCAGAAAAAGAAGAATCAAAACCATAAGCAAAATAAATGGTGTGAAAACAGTTGTGATTTCTTCGATAGACAGGGGGAGTACATACCGTCATGAAAGAGGAATGAAATCACAAGAAGTTTTTAATATACAGGGTGGAAAACGGTTTTCGTACACCATGCAGCTGTGGGGAAACTCATGGAGATGGTATTCAAGTGTGAAGCCCCCAGCAATGGCCAATAGGTAGTGCAGTTATACCTACACCGGTTAGGGGGACCAATACTGCAAACAACACTGCATCAGGCACCGAATACATCGGGTGCTTCACCTCCATTTTCACAATACTTGTGGGTTTCTCCTTCTGCAGTGATCACGATACTTCTCCACCAATTGTTGTATCTTCACTGATCGATCCTCCATTTGAAAGGTCTGCGCTTTCAAGTTTGCTTCAGTCACTGGCACCCAGTCGACTTAGAGCCCATTTGTAGTTGAAAAATCCCAGTGCAAACATGCAAGATTTACCAGACACATTTTTGAGACAAATCTCTGGGATATTGCCTGCAGATATGGAGTCTGTTGAGAAAAAGCATCGTGTTGAGCTCACAAAGAAAAGATCAAGCCTAGACGCGCTCCATACGGTGCTCTAATTTTGTTTGACAATGTCCTAAAGAAGAATAGAGAAGTCTGAATGTGAATTAACTACTGCGATCTGAACAATATTAGGACAGAAGAATAGAGAAGTCCTGCGATCTGGACAATATTACGACAGAAGGTATAGAGTCATTGTCTCGGATTGACGTACAAGGCTGTAAAGTATTTTCAAAGACTGATCTGAAGAGTGGCCACCACCAAATTGAGGTGGAGCCAGAAGACCAGCACAAGACTGTTCAAGACAACCTCTAAACTCAATGTTCAAAGCGATGTTATTTGGCCTCACAAATGCGCCGACAACCTTCCAACAAACGACGAACGACCTGCGGAGAGAGTACCTTAACCAGTTTGTTTGTGGTGGTTTACCTTAATGACATCCTTGTGCCCAGCAAATTGTACGAGGAATAGGAACATTCAAGGTTAGTGTTCAAGAAGTTGAGGTGACGCGAGTACAAGACTAGTGGATTTTTTCCTTCTCTCAAAGGAACAGATTCTCTACTGAGGACAGGTGGTTGCTATGGATGGAATGCGGCCTGAGGACAGGACAATGGAAGCAAGTGCAGCTTTGCCGAAACCCAGAGTAACTACAAGTGCGTGGTCATTCTTGGGGATGGCAAACTATTACAAAAGAATCATTGGAGGGTGCTCCATCATTGCCGCAGCGGTCATAAACCTGACCAGGAAGCATAATCCCTTCTCGTAAACCGAGAAATATGAGGAGGCCTTTCAAACTCTCAAAACCCATCTCATTAACTAATCCTATCCTCAGGCTGAAGGTTGTTGACCCAAGGATAATCCCTTCTTGTAAACCGAGAAATATGAGGAGGCCTCTAAATCTCTCAAAACCCATCTCATTAACTAATCCTATCCTGAAGGTTGTCGACCCTGCACTATTGTTTTTGTCCATAATTGACGTCGGTCGACATGGGAATGGAGAAGTGCTGCAGCAGAATGACGAGAATGGGCTTAGGCCAGTGAAATACCTTTCTATGTGCATGCCATCAAAAAGACTTGTGAGCTCTATGCCTTTTACCATGATGCTCTTTGGACGTGGAGAAACTATTTGTTTAGTAGACACTCTAAGGTGTATTTTGATCATAATACGGCGCAATGGTTGATCAGTTGTTATAGCCACCTTTGACTTTGACTTCGAGTTGTGAAGCATAAGAAAAAGGTGGTTACAATCGGGTGGCAGATGCATAATCACCACGACTGGGCAACATAATCATATCGCAGCGATCCTCAAAAATGCGGTCATGGTGGCTGTCACGGTGGCTGGTGCAAACAATCACATTTTTGCAATTGTTTTTCATTTTTCTCCCCACTGCCACTAATAGACCAATTTAAATTTGTCTTTCGCTTACCAGACAGAGTTACTGGTCCCCCAAATTTCCAAGCGTTCGGGGAGTGATGGCTTAAGACAACACAATTTTTTTCTTCTATCAAGCTCCTGCAGAATACAGAATAATATTCAATGCAAGATGTGTAAGCCAATCAGCACAAAGACAAACCAAATGCACGATGGTTGTACATATGTGAGCATGAACACACATAACATTGTGTCCAAGAGGAAAGCTTTGCATTGCACATGTCATGTTGGTCGCAGCGTATCTTCCAACAGGGCCAGGAAGTATACGAGCAGCCTCTGGATTACTCCTTGGCTGCAGATTCATGATATAAAGTTGTAAAACATGTATTTTAATTTTTCATTTTTTTGATATACAAACATCTATTAGGGAGAGTGGATGACCGCTAGGGGGGGTTGCTCGTATCACCCTCCCTAGCGGCAAGACTGGTTAAAAAAAAAAAAAACATAGGGAGAGTGCACA